GGTGTTTTTCAGTGTGAACATGCCACACATTTGTCCCACTTTATATTTCATCTGTAATCACCATCGTTCTGGATTAGAAGGATCCTCAAAGCACCGTCTTGGCTGTAAGTCTGCTCTCATTTGCTGTCTACTGTTTGTGATCTAGCTTCCTCTCTGACCTTTCTCTTGGGAACTGCTCTCTCTGTGGTCACAACTGTCATTTCCCAATCGCCAAATTAAACAGCGTTTCTTTCAGTCCTCATTTTCCTTCACTCCTCTGTAGCGTGGAACAGTCCATTCTTCCTTTCACCCCTCTCTCCCTGTGGCTAAAACGACGCTCCGATGTTTTGGTTCACTACCTCTTTTGACTCTCGTTTTTTTTAAGTGTTTTCACTTCCTCCTTCCATTTTGTAACTGTAGATGTCCCACAAGGCCAAGGCCTTTGCGCTCTGGTTTTACCTTCTCTTTTCTTTACTCTTCTACATTTTCCCATCTTCAGTTACCTCCAAATGAGTTCTTATTTGTATTTTGAGACTTCCTCCACCCCCAAGCCCTAGAGCCGAAATCTGCTGGTGGTACGTTCCACTTGATGCCCTTCTGTCCCGTCAAAGTTTTTCCCCTTTTGAGCCTCTAAATTCCGTCACAGGTACCATCCTTCTCCTAGTTTCTAACGTTCAAAATCGTACCTGTCTTTGATTCTTCTCTTCTCCAGAGCCAGTTAATTACATATCCTGTGGATCCTCTTTCCTTCAATTTCCTCTCTAACAAATGTGCTGTTCACACACTTGCTGTGATGCCTTATCATTCCTTTTAGACCATTTCAGTGTTTTCCCAGTGAAGTCAGTTAGTTGAATGTGACAATATTTTGATGTGTTTGCATTAAAATTTAATTTATGACTTGGGCCCCCCTCATCCTCCAAAACACTGAATATTTGTAACATCAATATCTTTCCCTGTTCCATTCTCTCTACTACTAAGGGGGAAGAATCCTTTGTTTTATGGTCCAAACATCAAGACCAAAGCATTGTGCTGATCTGAGTAATGGTTTTGGTTCAGAAAATTATGAACAAGAAGCTGTTGAAAGGAAAAGAATTTATTAGGGCTAAAGTGTAAAGGATGAGTAGGAAATATTGTGTCAGCCTGGGGAAGGGGAAGCACAAGCAAAAAAAAGAAGCAAAATTCACCATGGTGCCTGTGAGTGTGTGTGTGTTGTGTATAATGTGTTTGTGTGGTCTATGAAAAGTCAAAGTTGCTGTGAGCCAGGGAGAGGGGAGATGGGAGGCTGGGCAGAAAAGCCTTATACAGCAAGTTAAGGACTATCATTTAGGGGGTCATGGAAGTATTGGAAGTGGGGGTGGAGTCACATGACCACATTTGTGGACAGATTTCTAGCCTTGGATGGCATCTTTCACCTCAGAGGACTCAGGGGAGGGGAGGAATGGATATGGGTTGGGGTTTCTAATGAGACTGTGATTGCTTCTCTGCGCTGCTTCCTTAGGACTGCTTGTGACTTCCAGGGAGTCTCTGGGGAAGGAATACAGGGGCAGCCCTCAGAAAGGGGGCCTCTGAGACAGTCAGAATGTGTTTGCCAGGTTGGGGGTGGGGCTGGCTCGAGGGTAAGACCAGAAGAGCTAGCACGACAGATGGGAAGATGGCTGTACACGTTATTGTATCTAAAAGGAGTTTCATAGATGAAAACGAGAGCCTGAGTCATGTTGATATTTCAGCCCCCTCATTTCACTGCTCCCTTGCTTGTGAAACTCATATTGGTCCTTCAGAGCCCGTCTGAAATGCCAGCTTCTCTCTGAAGTGTTTCCTTTAGCCCTGGACTGGAAGGCATCGCTTTCTCTTTAGAAATTCCAACACTTGGCATTTACAAGTATTTTATAGCTTTGTATTCTTTCCCCCTTATGTGTAAATTCTCTGAAGATTGTCTTGCTCATCTTTAAATTTTCTCCATCACCTGAGACTCTGCTCTGTATATACTCTCTACTGAAGAAAGAATAATTGTACTGAATCTAAACTTACATATGAAAAGGGCATGCTATGGTATTTAATAAGTAGGAACCTTAAATAATGAAATATTTTAAGGAATTTGAATATTTCAAAGCTCTATCCATACAAAATCTGAATAATTCATACAAATTTGAAGAGAAGAACAAAAGCTTCTCTGATAATTCAATACACTGCTCTTTATTTTGGTCCATAAAAGGGGACCTGGTACTTAGTTTTGGTGGTAAGCTCGGCTCTAGAGGCTTTGAAATGCAGATCAGATTAATTACATCACAATTATATTCAAAAACTAAAAGGAAACATTTTCTAAAAGACATTCCAAATCTCTGTCTCTTCAAAGGAAGTGTCATTTGTAAAAAACTGAATCACACCATGAAATATGTGGCATTTCTTTGGGTTTCCACTCTCTTTCATACGAGTGGTAGGCTCATCCAATGTGTAGAAATGTGCTTAATTAAATTTAGCTTTATTTCTCAAGTTAAGAAAATGTGTATGTTGTATTTCTGAGATAAGAAGAGGCACTTTTTTTTCTTTCTTCCTTTTTTTTTTTTAAGCACACAGATCTCCACATGTTGCAGCATTTGGCTTATTCCCTTATTTGAAAATTGGGTTTTATTTATAAATCTACAAGTTCCTATTCATTTAGAACAGGACTTGAATTGCCTGGAAACCTATACAGCAGAATGGCATTTTACAGTGTGATTCCATTTTCTCTTCAATATAGATTACAATACCATCATTTGTATTTATTTTACAGTACACGCTTTTGGGATTACTCATCTGGTAATGGGACCTGAGTTTAGGTGCAAACCTTCTATTTCCTGAGCTGCGTGAGGTTGAGCAAGTGACTTAAGCTCAGAGGTAAAATGAGGGAGCTGTTGCCTAAAATATCATGACTCTCTGGTTTAAGTATAATCAACTTGAATGTTTGATGATCTCTCTGAAAGTTAAAAAAAATGCTAGTGGCTATAATAAAATAAATGCCAACTACTGAGCCATGAGTCATATTTTTAAAGTAATATAAGATAGGAAGAGAGGATCAGGTGGTCTCTTCCTTTATGTGAATTTTATGTGGGATATGTTTGCCCGAGGTAGCATATGCCCAGTGTCAGCAGTCTGCAAATACCACCAGGATTAGAGGTGATAGAGATAAGGAAAATGAATTTTTTTTAGTTTGGCAAGAAATGCAAAACAGAAATGTGTTTTTAATTTTATTACAAATAACTTGCAGGACTGAAAATGATTAAACTGTCACATGTTTCAACATTAATAAAGACTATGCAAAAGGATCAGTTACAACATAGTAATTTACTAAGATTTAAAAGAGTATATTATTTCTAAGAGCTCATTTTAAGGGCTGTAGATTTGTAAATGATTTTTTCTCATTTCATCTTTTGTGCTTTTGTTTCTTAGTTTGTCTTTTGTTCTGAGCTTTCAGAGGTTTATGCAGGAAATATATGTTATGACCTTTGAGATGTGTTAAAATTGAAAGAAAATTTAACTCCAGTAAGAAAAATCGTACTAAAATGCAGAGAACTCCATACTAGATGCAGATTAGATATAATGTATAAAGATTATTTTTCATGATTTTTAAAATTCAAATTCTTAAGATAGGGATATTTTTATTGTAACAGAAAGAAAAGCAATATATTTGTGATGGAATTTAAATCATATATGTTTACTCACCTATGCCTGTTTATAATAAATATATGCTATATATTATACCTATCACACACCTATATATGTTGGAATTCTTGTCTATGATATAGAGAGAAAATGCTATATCAAAAATATCTAGCATTCAGTTAACTCTGAAAAAAATCACGTTGTTTCTTGGCTTTTTGTTACTTTCCGTTGGCCTAGAGGCAATGATTCATGATAATGTAATGTGAAACATATGGTTTCCAGTATCACATGGCAAATTTGAATGGCTATATAAGAAATCTGAACCGCTCTTCTTAGTTTGAAAATGTAACACTTAACAGAAGTTTATTTATTAGAGAATTTGGTGTCAGTAAAAACTAAACACTTTGATTTCAATAATAGTAAGACTCCAAAAGAACTGATCCTCAGTGAGGAAATGTGACTGAATTTTAATTCCTAATATTTTATAGCTTATATGTGAAAAGAAACAACATTCACTTATTTGAAATTTTGGCTTTGTTTATAAACCTACAAATTTCTATTCATTTAGAACAGGACTTGGATTGACTGGAGCCCTATGGAGCTGAGTGGTAGAGTGTGATTTCCATTTTCACACTCTTTAAACTTTTTAAAGATTTAAACATTTTCACACTTTTCAAACTTTTTAATTAGTTTAATGTCTCTTTTTGGAAATGGATCAGTTTCATTATACGTGCTGAAATGTCTTCTGAATAGTAGGCTTGTTTGACACAGGTACTTATTTTAAACTTGGAAAAGCAGAGTTCCCAGTGATTAACTTTAGAGGGGAGAAGAGAAAACAGGAACACAAACACAAAAGAACAAATATTTTTGAGTTAGCAACTCTGTAATGAGAGTGGTAGAATCAGATAAACAAACATTTTAATAAAGAATGTCTCAACAAAATTTAATCTAGTAATTTAATGATAATTCATGGAAATTAATGGATTCAAGAGTGAAGAAATTTCTACAATTATAGCATGAAAGAATGAATACAATTTTGTTAGAGAAGCTGCTGTTGTTTTTGAAATGAAGAGTTCAGAATCAAGCTGTAAATTAGGACAATAACAATTGCCTGGTAAACAGAATTCAATATATGTAAATTACCCTTGCTATAGGTAGAAAATGTGTTTGATTTGATTTCCCCAAGCCATCTCAAGAACCTCTACCAATAAAGTGAGTTACATCTTTGGGCTCAGCTTTCATTATCTGAATAACATTCCTGGGCCAGGTAATAATTTCCATTTGGGGCTGGAACCATTTGCATTAGAAATTAATCTATTTCTCAATGTTATATTGATTTTCCGTGATCTTTATCTTCCATTGACTTCTGTTTTTCTTTTCAGTAAGTTGATGTTGCCAGAAGATGAGTGCTGAGAATGTGATATTGGACCTCATGCAATTGGAAATCTGAACTTTGGATGGAGGACTTTGCTAGGAGCCAGGCAAGTGGAGGATCTGAGGGCAGGAACAGGGGTGGGTGGGGGACTGGGGTTGGGAGGTTGGATCTACCATAGAGAGGAATTAAGCATTCATTGACTTTGAAAAAAATCAGACAAACATAAAGTACAATCCTGTAGTTCTGAATTTCAACTTAGCCAAGGTTCAGAAATGTAAATGATAAACCAAAAAGGGCCTAGATTAATGATTTTCCACCCCAAAGGGTTAAAGGGCTTTAAGGTTTCTAAATAGATTTGTCTCAGAGGTATTCTAGAGATTCTTTTCCTTTTGTTTGACTCATTTCCTCCTTGATAAGATTCTATTTCCTTTCTCTTCCTCTTCACTCTGTTACTTAACATAGCCCCAAAATATGGTGTAGCCCATCCGAACCGCTGCTTTCAGTGAACATATTCGTCATGAGATAACTAAAGACTCGGGGGCATATGTGCTACATATGCTCCTGTTAATCCTTTGCTTCCTATCCCACTTCTGTTATGATAAGTTTCCATATTTGGCACCAGATTTTCTTGCTACCATTCTGACACTGAAACATCAACCTGCCTCATTCTCTATGAGCCAACATTCAGCCACAATGTAGTCTTTTTATTTTTTATTGTTGTTCTAGTACATTTGTCTCACAATGCAGCCTTAAAACAATGCATACTATATTTACTTTTTGTTCTTGACCTTTGGTTTGGTAATGAGGAGTCTTGGAAGAAAATGACCTCTTTTTACCCTTTCAAGTATGATGCAATCGACTTGCATGTTTGTGTCCTCCCAAATCTGTATGTTGAAACCTCATTCCCAATATACTAGTCTTTACAGGTTGGGCCTTTGGAAGGCGGTTAGGTCATGGGGGTGGAACTGTCCTAACTACAGCATTATGGAGCCCGTATAAAGGAGCTCCCAGACAGCTCTCTTGCCCCTTTGTCCGTGTGAAGACACAGCAAGAAGACTGCCACTTACGAACCAGGCAGTGGGCTCTCATCAGACACTTAATATATCAGTACCTTGATCTTGGACTTCCTGACTTCTTGAACTGTGAGAAATAAGTTTCTGTTGTTTATAATTCTCCTAGTCTATGGTATTCTGTTGTTGCAGCCCAAATGGACTAAGAGATATGGTGACTTTGTCTGGGTGTCTCTAGGGTGTAGGAATCAGGACAGTTCTTATGCCTTTCTTTTCCTCACTACCCACCCATTTCCACACCTGGCAGAGAGGGGTCTTTGCTCCTTGGAGGCCACACACACATAAATGGGGAGTTGCACCAGCTGATTCTAGATCTCACCCCTTCACACCCTAAAGCTAGGATTTGGCTCCTCACAATCCCCCCTCTCCTGAAGTTCTATGTAATTCCATCTATATTAAAATGCTGATTAGGATTTTATAATGCAGTGAATTGACTGTGAACCTTGAAGGATTTTGAATCTTTCCAAATAGTCAGCCAGGCCTCACTGACCACCTTTATTTTTTTTTTCACTTTTCAAATGAAGAAAATGAAGTAGGTAATTAAGGATAAATTCCTTATGTGGGCCAATCCAGGAAGCCTGTGAAACTGCCAATATGAGACCAGGAATCTCTCCACCAGGAAATTTGACAGAAATGCCTCTGTGCCCCGTTATCTCTTTGATACCCATCCCCACAACTTTTATTTGCATTAATAACTACTGTCTCCCACCTTCATTTCAGTGGAGGAAATGAAAACCCTAGTAAACTTTAAATAAGAGCAGGACTCACAAAGCAAATTAGAGTTCAATCTGAACTCAATCAGACCTGGCCCCCTCTCCCTCCTCACACATTTTTTTCTAACAGTTCTCACCTGCTGCCTTTCTGTTACAAAGGTGGTTAACACAGAAAAATGAGGATTGTGGCAAGTTCTGGTCTCTTTAGTGCCATATACGTTTGTCATATTAATGCTTTTAATCATCTGATTGCTGTCAAATCGATTTAAGTCTTGGTGAGCTCAGTAAATCCTGAAATGGCTGTATTGAGCACTACTGCATGCAATACAGTGTATTTAGGTTCTGTTTGGGGAAAATGAGAGAAGTTATAGTCCCTGGCATACAGTATCTTATAATCTAGTTAGGAAACCAAATGCACAGCAAATGATCTTTAAAAACTGTATATGACAACATATTCCCTTTCTCTGATCAGCAAGATGAAACTGTTTCCTTTACGAATGGTCTTACCTTTCCCACGGCATTTCTGTTACATTCAGAAACTCTCTTAATATGGCCCCTCAAAATAAGCTCCATTTTGTTCTCAAAGTAGAGTCGGACAACAATCTGTTTCTCCCACATTCCTTGGCATATGTGTGCAGTCCATTTAGCAACTTCTTCCTGTTCCTCTTACATGTCACAGTCTTTCTGGAGGTAGAAATTAGGTTTTCACTGGTAGACATTCTGGGCCATCTTGAGTTGGCTGGATTCTGGGGGCTAGTCTCACAGCGGGGACTCAAACACACCCCTTCTCTGGCTGCTTCAGTGTGAGGCAGCTGAAGGCTCTTTTCTCCTCCCTTGGCTGCTTCCTCCTATTCCTCCTGGTGGGTCAGGCCTGCCCAGAGTAAGGACCTTCCACTGGACAGCTGTGCAGGGCATGGTTAGCTGCTTAAGTTGGGATTCTGCCTTTTGGGAAGTTGTTCTTTTCAGAGGCCAGAAAGGTAAGAGGAGTCGGTGCCCAGGAGACCTGGCCCACTCTCCCTCCTCCCATGCTTGGGCCACTTTTGACTCTCCCTTCTCTGGGTGGGTGAAAAAAGATAGCCCCACTGGCTGCTTCAGTCTGGGGCTTCCTTCGTGTGGGCTGATGTGCAGTAGCAGCTAAGATGGTGTAGCACTTGGTAGGAGACACTCATTCAATTTTGCTGCTGCTTCTCTTCAGCTGGTGTGCCTGTCCTCTTTAGAGTACATGTCAGCCCTGGCTGGTGTAGCTCAGTGGATTGAGCATGGGCTGCAAACCAAAAAGTCGCTGGTTTGATTCCCAATCAGGGCCCATGCTGGCTTGTGGGCCAGGTCCCCAGTGGGGGCCATGTAAGAGGCAACCTCACATTAATGTTTCTCTCCCCCTCTCTCTCTCTCCCTCCTTCCCCTCTCTCTCCCTCCTTCCCCTCTCTCTAAAAATAAGTTAAAAATCTTAAAAAAAATAACGTATGGCTAAAAGAGAAGAAAACTAAAAGGGAGAGGGAGTGAGAGGAAGGAAGAAAAAAGGTAAGAGATAGAGATAGGCAAGGGAGAAGGGAAAGAAGAAAGAAGAATTAAAATTTTTATTTTTGTTTTTAAATTAAATTGACATCTTATTATGTCTCTTCCCCCCACCAAACCTGCTGTGCCTCTCTGATTCAGCAGATCAAGGGTGGGGCCTGGGATTCCGCATTTCTAAGCTCCCTGATGAAGTTAATGCTGTTGGTCTTCAGACCATACTCTGAGTAATCAGATACTCTACCCATTTCTTAATCATTCTTCTTATAACAATATCTGATGCCTGTATAACATTTAATATATGCCTGACACTGTTTAAAGTGCTCTGCATGTATCAACTCATTTAGCCCTCGCAAGGCCCTATGTGATGGGTACTACTATTAGCCCACTTCACAGTTGGGGAAACCCAGACAAGGGTAATTAGTTTACCAAATATCACATAGTAAGCGGAAGAGCCAGGATTCAGACCCAAGTCTGGCTCCAGAGTGTGTGTGTTCAGTCCCATTCCTATTCCAGCAATTTACAAACTTATTACCCTCTTCTGGACATACTTTAACTTTTCAATGTTTTGCCCTTAAAGTGGGAACCCAGCTTGAAAATAATGTTCCAGGCATGTGATTGACCAGCCTGTGAGGCTCGCTGTGCTATTAATTCATGATTGTTTTAGCCGCTCTGTCAACTTGTGCCTTCTATAAATTTGATAATTACAGCCAGTTCTCAAGATTAGCTATAGGATCCCAAGATTGCTGTCGTTTGGGCTATTTTTTTTTGACAAGTAGAGGCAGCAAAGGGCAGCTGAGGTTAACAGTTCTAGCTGATCACTGAGGCAGCAAGGGAAACAGCTCCAAGATAAACACAGTGTTCATTGTGTAGTCTGAAGGGAGAGATCAGGCCAGGAGAGATCAGGCCGGGAGAGCTGAGCCAGGCAGGGGTGAGGAGTGAAATAGGATGCTGTGTGCTTGAGAAGGTTGGTGGCTGTTCAGGCCAGAAAAGAAAGTGGAGAGGCTGAAGCAAACTGGAGTCTTATAAAGGAGCGAAGTCTGGATCAAGGAGGCCAGAGATTCATTCATTTATTCAATAAATATTAGTTGCCAACGCACTAAGTTCCAGGCAGCATGCTACATGCTGGTGATACAGTGATCAATAGCATAGACCTGGCCCCTGCCCTTGGGGAAATTCTGATTCTTCTGGGGAGACTGACAAGACTAAACCAAACCAAACAAGGTACCAGACAAATAAATTGGTGGGGCCTATAATGACTATTATGAAGGAAACAAGGGTCCAAGACATTGAAACCAATGGGCACTCTACTTTAGGTTGGGTGGTCAAGGAAGACTGTCAGCTGAGACCTAAAATCAGAGAAGTTAGGCATGTGAAAAAGACATTCTAGGTAAGAACCAGCTGTGCAAAAGCCCAAGAGTGGGAGAGAATTTGTCATGGAAGGAGATTCCCAATGGGATCAGCCATCCAATGGGAATAGGTACAAATTGACATAAAGATTAAAGTTGTGAATAACTGATGTGAAACAAACTCAATTGGCTTTGACAGGTCATTCAATTCTCATCTGGAATATTATGTTGAATTTTTTTCTTAAAAGTGTATTTTATTGATTATACTATTACAGTTGTCCCATTTTTTGTTTCACCTTTGTTCCCCTCCATCCTGCAACCCCCCTCCCACCAGCATTCCCCTACCTTAGTTCATGTCCTTGGGTCATTCATACGAGTTCTTTGGCTTCTCTGTTTCCTATACTACTCTTAACCTCCCCCTGTCTATTTTGTACCTACCATTTATGCTTCTTATTCC